CCTGCGCTCCCTCTGAGTCTGAAGCGAAGCGCGCACCCAGGTCTAGACGCTCAGCGGGTCCGCTGCAGCACAGCAGCCTCAGACTGCGCCTGCGCGGACCCAGTCCCCCTCCCCGCCCCCTCCGGCTAGTCCTGTCTCCAGAGTAACACTGCAGGCAGCAGCTGGGGTCTGCGCTGTTGTGATCGCAGCAGCTGCTCTTAAAGGGCCAGGTGGGAAGGAGGGCTTGGGGACTGAAGAAAAAAAAAAAAAAAAAAAAAAGTCACTGGGGCCTGCACACCACAGAAGGGGATCAGTCTCCCTTCAGGGGACAGAGACCTCCTTGGAAGGCATAGATGCTTCCACAAGGGCTGTTGGTTTACTTTGGTTTTGGTTTTTAAACGAGGCTAACCTTGAACTTGCCAAGCAGCCACCACAAATGACCTTGAACTTCCGATGGCTCCTCCTGCTTCCGCCCTCCACGCAAATACTGAGATTGCGGGCATATGCAGGCGACTTCTTGCCTGCGTTATTTTTTTAATGCGTTTCTGGGGGGTCGAGGCCAGGGTTCCAAGCATTCCATGCAAGGCACTCAACCAGCTGAACTACAACCCAATCCCCCTGGGGACAGATACAACTCTGCTTTATAAAGCTTTAAATTAAATTGTTCTTTGGAGGTGTGACCTCACACGGGCTCTATCTCTCTTCCTGGCATAGAGGTCTCAATACCAAACAGGGATGCCAAGGTTAGCTGTCCTTTATGAGCCGAGGGCCATCATTTCCGGTATAGGGTACTCAGTAAGTGGGTATCAGTCTCACCTAGGGAGACCACATTTCTTTTCCTTTTTTTCTTTTTCTTTCTTTCTTTCTTTCTTTTTTTTTTTTACAGGTTCATCTTTTTATTGGACATGTTAGCAAGAAGTTTAGTCAAAAAAAAAAAAAAAACCCAAAGCCCATGTCATCATCAGACTCCTCAGATTCTTCCTTTTTTGCTTCCACTGTCTTCTCCTTAGCTGGGGCAGCAGCGGTTAGAGAGGGCAGGCCCACAGGCAGGCGGGGGGGCCGGTGGGGGGTGCTGTTGGAGCAGGTCCACCAGCCCCTACATTGCAGATGAGGCTCCCAATGTTGACATTGGCCAAGGCCTTTGCAAACAGGCCAGGCCAGAAAGGTTCAACATTGACAGCAGCTGCTTTAATGAGGGCGTTGATCTTATCATCCGTGACCATCGTGACCATGAAGGATGAGGGCACGGAGTAGATGCAGGCGAGCTCAGAGATGGAGGCCATGTTTCAGACTGCCTGCACCTGTGCTCGGTGCTTGTCACTACCGCCCCCGATGAAGTGATGACGACAGGGCCTTACCCCATAGTGTCATTAGTTAGCTTCCTGAGAAGAACCGAGCACCTTAGCGGCAGCTGAGGAAAGGGAGACCACATTTCATTCATGAATGTTCCTATACTCTGTTGTTTTTTTTGTTTGTTTGTTTGTTTGTGTTTGTTTTTGTTTTTCGAGACAGGATTTCTCTGAGTAGCTTTGGAGGCTGTCCTGGAACTAGCTCTTGTAGACCAGGCTGGTCTCGAACTCACAGAGATCCGCCTGCCTAATATGGAGTGCTGGGATTAAAGGTGTGTGCCACCACTGCCCGGCCCTATACTCTGTTTTTGAAACAGGATCTCACTATGTAGCCCAGGCTAAATGCTGAGATTAAAATTGTATGCTAACACACCCGGATC